GGGATGGGGGTGAGGGTGGGAGGTGTGGGGGCAGGTGGAGCACTTCCTGCGATTACAGGGAAAAGTGCCGGGGGCGGTGGGGCTGGTGTGGAGTGTGGAGCAAACAAGGCAGTCACGGAGAGAGTGGTCCCTCCGGAAAGCAGATAAGGGTGGGGAGGGAAAAATGTCTTTGGTAGTGGGGTTGGATTGCAGATGGTGGAAGTGTCGGAGGATGATGCATTGGATCCAGAGGTTGGTGGGGTGGTACATGAGGACGAGGGGGATTTTGTTTTGGTTATTATTGCGGGGAGGGGGTGTGAGGGATGAGTTGCGGGAAACGTGAGAGACACGGTTGAGGGCTTTTTCGACCACTGTGGAGGGGAAGTTGCGGTCCTTGAAAAACGAGGACATCTGGGATGTTCGGGAGTGGAATGTCTCATCTCGGGAGCAGATGCGACAGAGGCGAAGGAATTGGGAATAGGGGATGACCTTTTTGCAGGAAGGTGGGTGAGAGGAGGTGTACTCTAGGTAGCTGTGGGAGTCAGTAGGCTTGAAATGGAGATAGTAGGAACTGCAGATGCTGGAGAATCCGAGACAACAAGGTGCAGGGCTGGATGAACACAGCAGGCCAAGCAGCATCAGAGGAGCAGAAAGGCTGACGTTTCAGGTCTAGACCCTTTTTCAGAAATGGGGGAGGGTAAGGAGGTTCTGAAATAAATAGGGAGAGAGGGGGAGGCGGATAGAAGATGGATTCAGGAGAGGAAACAAACAGGTCGAAGAGGCGGGGATGAGGCCAGTAAAGGTGAGTGTAGGTGGGGAGTTAGGGAGGGGATAGGTCAGTCCAGGGAGGACAGACAAGTCAAGGGGGCAGGATGAGGTTAGTCGGTAGGAGATGGAGGTGCGGCTTGAGGTGGGAGGAAGAACAGGTTAGGGAGGCAGGGACGAGCTGGACTGGTTTTGGGATGCGGTAGGGGGAGGGGAGATTTTGAAACTTGTGAAGTCCACATTGATACCATTGGGCTGCAGGGTTCCCAAGCGGAATATGAGTTGCTGTTCCTGCAACCTTCGGGTGGCATCGTTGTGTCACAAGTTCTGTCCCAAAACCAGCCCAGCTCATCCCCGCCTTCCTAACCTGTCCTTCCTCCCTTGACTTGTCCGTCCTCCCTGGACTGAACTATCTCCTCCCTAACTCCCCATCTACACTCACCATTACTGGCTCCATCCCCGCCTCTTTGACCTGTCCGTCTCCTCTCCACCTATCTTCTCCTCTATCCATCTTCTATCCGCCTCCCCCTCTCTCCCTATTTATTTCAGATCCCTCTTCCCCTCCCCCATTTCTGAAAAAGGGTCTAGACTTGAAACGTCAGCCTCTCTGCTCCTCTGATGCTGCTTGGCCTGCTGTGTTCATCCAGCTCTACACCTTGTTATCTCAGACTCTCCAGCATCTGCAGTTCCTACTATCTCTTCGGCTCGGAGGTGTGGCCTATGCCGTGATTGGCTCTGGTGTGTTCGGGTGTGCTTGTGGCCTGAGCTTTGATTGGCTGGGGTTTTTTTTACGGGGCCTTGGACCTGTCTATGAAAGGCTGCGGTGCGTTCATGGGGCGTGGCCTTGAACCCGATTGGCTGTAGTGTGTCCCGTTCCGTAGGCCGAGCTCTGATTGGCTGACGTTTGTACCGGGGCGTGGCCTAGTCTATGATTGGCTGAGATGTGTCCGGCGGGTGTGGCCTGGGCTTTGATTGGCTGTCCGCGGGTGTTTGAAATTTAACTGTTGTCAGGGCGCGGAGAGCTTGGAGCTGGAGAGGGATCTGACCGCCTGACTGACTGAGAGTGAGAGTTCGGGGTGAGTTGTGGCTCTGCCGGCTCGTTGTGAGCTGGAGTGCGCGGTACGGAGTTGTGAGTCAGTCTGAACGGCCTTGGGCTGGCGGTGGCGGTACAGGAGCGGCCGTGAGGGTCACTCGGGAAGGATTCACTCACTGCGGCTCGGCCCCAGAGACACACATCCCTCCCCGGGCCTTGCATAAGGAGGGAGAGAGACATCCCCCTCAACACCGCCCCCATCCCGATGGACATCTTTGTGTGTGTCCGTGCCCGTCCTCCGGGCACAAACACCGAGTGTCACTGCTACCGAGGTTCTACCCGTCCCCCGTCCCCCGCACTGTTGGGGAAGGGTGTTTATACCGACATGACATGGGCGTTAGGGGCCGGTGGGGGGAAGAGAAAGAAACTGTTGGTAAGGAGGACGGAGAGCAGACCTGCCGTGATCAGCTCCTGGAAGTTCAACTTGTGATTGTCAGCATAGAACATTACAGCGCAGCACAGGCCCTTCGGCCCTCGATGTTGCGCCGACCTGTGAAACCAATCTGAAGCCCATCTAACCTAAACTATTCCATTATCATCCATATGTTTATCCAATGACCATTTAAATGCCCTTAAAGCCTCCAGTGCCTGGAAACAGTGTTGAGTTGGTAAAGGATGCAGGTTCTTTCACAGGATTTGCAGTTGATGCAAATGTTCCCAGACCTTAAATGGAAGGAAAGGAAAAAAGAAACAAATTGCTGGAGGAAGGACTGGCTGTATCTGTGGAGAGAAAGCAGAGCATTTTGAGTCCAGTGAGCCTTCTTCAGAACATTTTAAGTGAAGGGGGTTCATGCTCCTCTGTGAAAGGTGTTATGTTTAGGTGAGTAAATACTGTATGTCACCTAAGGTAACATAGCTCCCAGTGATGCCCTGATTCTTCCTCACGTCTGTTTCCAGCCTTACTGTGTAGCTCTTTGAATTTGTAAGTGAGCTGACAGGAGAATGGGTCATCTAGTGAAGTACAGATTCTCTAGAGTTTAAGTTCATTGTCATCCTGCATTTAATATCAAACCCCCTTACCATCTCATCCAGGAGCTCTTAATTCCACAGCCAAAATATTCCATCCGGGCAGTTTTTAATCCTTTGTGCTCTGTGGACTAAGTCTCTGAAACAAAAGTCATGGCACCTTGGGCCCAATGTATCACTGCTGAACTCCAGTGTGGAGACCTTGAGGTGGGTACATTGCTTACGGTATGACCATGCCATGCTTTGTTCCTGGCCACCACCTCCTTGCTGAAAATAACGCCGTGCCCCTAGATCGAGAGATGCTTTCACAAGTCTACCAGAGTACAGCTAGCTGACCTTAAATTAAAGATCACGTTGTAACTGGGCAAGAGCAAATGTGTGACATTCTCGATTTTTCATCCTGGGTCGCATGGTGCCTCAGTGGTTAGCACTGCTGCCTCACAGCCAGGGATTCTACCCTCAGGCGACAGTCTGTGTGGAGTTTGCATGTTCTCCCTGTGTCTGCATGGGTTTCATCCCACAGTCCAAAGATGTGCAGGCTAGGTGGATTTTTCCATGCTAAATTGTCCATAGTGTTCGGCGAGTTGTAGGGGGATGGGTCTGGGTGGGATGCTTTGAGGGTCGGTGTGGACTTGTTGAGCCAAAGGGCCTGTTTTCACACTGTAGGGATTCTATGATCTATGATTCTTGGTAGAGTACCACAGCTTGTATATGAGGCCACTGGATGAAAGGTTAGAAATGAATGTGTAGAATTTATAACTACTCATCTGAACTGGAAGGTGGGTTATCCTGTGTCTTTTGTGGTGATGGTGGGTACCAGAGAAGATGCAGGGGCCACTGAGATTTAAAGTTATTTTGGTAGGGTCCAGGGCTTCTGGGAAAGTGGGGTGAGGTATCTGACTAAAGTAAATCTTGACTGGGAGTTATTTTACTATTGACTAGAAAAACTGGGAGTTATTTCAAGTTCCACCATGGTGCATTGGAGATTGGTGGGTGACCTCGTTGTATAGTTCTGGTCACCTTTCTAGGGGAAGGATATTGTTAAACTTGAGAGGGTGCAGAAAAGCTTTCCAAGGATGTTGCCAGGACTGGAGCGATTGAGCTATAGGGAGAGACTGAATAGGCTGTGACTATTTTCCCCCTGGAGCTTAGGAGGCTGAAGGGGGTGACCTTCTAGAGATTTATAAAATCATGAGGGGCATGGACAGGGTGAATAGCCAAGGCCCTTTTCCCCAAGGTAGGGGAAGCCCAAAACTAAAGGACAGATGTTTAAGGTGAGTGGGAAAGATTTTAAAAAGGACCTGAAGGGTAACTTTTTCATGCAGAAGGTGGTGGTGTGTGTATGGAACAAGCTGCCAGAGGAAGTGGTTGAGGCTGGTACAATTACAACTTTTAAAAAGGTATCTGGAGGGGTATATAAATAGGAATGCTGGCAAATGGGATCGGATAAGTTCAGGACATCTGATCGGTGGGGCTGGATTGGACTGAGGGAGCTGTTTCCGTGCTGTATGACTACGACTCTAAAACTGCCACTCCTTTTTTTTTCTAAACTCTAGTGAATATAAGCCCAATCTACTCGACCACAGCTTGTATGGGCTGAAGTCTTTGGTGGAACCACTGGGCTCAGAAAAAGAACAGAATGCCATGACCTTGTAAAGCTAGTTCCTATCTGAGTTGCTGGATAAACAACAGAGTGACACTCCTAATCTACATCAGGGAAAGGTGAATCGATGCAGAATATGAAGAGTATTTGGGACAAGAGAGTTCACCCACAATTAGACAATTGGAAAGCTTGGTGGTGATGATGCTACAATTACATTCTCTTCAGTGGCGAAACAACCTGGTCTTGATCTACCCAGCAGAGAAAGATTGGGTACATGTACAAACCAGGGCAGAGTAGCGTGCCATGTACAGCACCCAAGGTCAGGACTCAATGAAGTGACCCATAGTCTGATTGACAGTGGGAAATTTTTTGGAAGCATCTGTCTCATCCTAAGCAAATTATGGAATTGTAAAAGGACTAATGCAGCAGTGAGTTGGCTATTTTGCAGGTTTGAGGTGCATAACACTAGGAAAAAATAACCATGTTGCAAATGCACTAAGACTGTGCACTCTGGCTATTTTTTGGTAATGTTTATTTTTCATCAAGACAAGAATGTGTTTGGAGCCTTTATCAGTGAGATCCTTTTGTACCAGTATATAATGCTATTGGTCCTTCACTGTTACTTATTGATCCAGCAAGCTTAATTTTGAACTTACTTTGGTCCAGAAAGGAAGAAGCTCGTGCATCCATTGTTCCAAAAACCTTTAATGGAATGTAACTAAATCATATAAAGTTAATGAATTGTAAAAACTGTTAATTTTTGTCAACCAGTCATAATGTTGCTAATGTTTCAAAACCTTTGGTTAAAGTTGAAGGCCTACTGTCTTAAAATTTTGAAATTAAAAGTCTGTGTGTTGGATGGTGGGGAGGGAGGTAAATCTGAGTCTTTTCTTTTTCTTCAAAGTACCCTTTGTTTTTAGTGGAAGCAGTTATTCTCAAATGAACAATGGCCATTCTTTTCCTTTTCAGGAAACAATGCCTTCAAGAAGGAAAGCAACTGGTCGCAAAAAGAATGCCCTGGAATTAAAGAAATATGAAAAGCTTCAAGCCTTCCTGAAGGATTTTGACATTGAAGGTAGTAGGCTGAGTTAACTATATGATGATATTTCAGCAACAAAGTCTGGGCGGATTATTTTTTCAGTTCTCCCTGACTCACCTTTGTTTAAACTAGTTAATCTGTATTCTTTCTTTCTTTCTTGTAGTTATTATTTCTCTTTGATCATAAGACACCGGAGCAGAAGCAGACCATTCAGCCCATGCAGTTTGCTCTGTTGTTTAATGAAGTCATAGCTGATCTGATGATCCCCAGTCCACTCTTCTGTCTTTTTCCTGTAGCCCTTGATTCCCTTACCAATTAAAAATCGGCCTTAACTTAACCTTGAATATATTAGTGACCCAGACTCTACAGCCTTCTGCTGTAAAACATTCCACAAATTTGTTAGCCTCAGGAGAATTTTCTTCTCATCTCTGTCCAAAATGGATGACTCCTTACTCTGAAATTATGCCTTCTAGTCCCAGACCCCCTCAAGAGGAAATAGCCTCTCTACATCTACCCTGTCAAGCCTGCTAAGAACCTTGTATGTTTCAATAAGGTTACCTCTCATTCTGTTCCTCTTATTTTCTACCAAGGCCCGTTACCTTGATAACTGACTTCTGAACGTAAATAGTAAAATTGTCACCCACTTACTGTTTGCTTGTCTGAACTGTAACTTTCCTTGTACAGTTGAACGCCGGAAGAGGGAGATGGAAAAAGCAATGAACAATCTTCTCATCACAGTAGATGCCTATTACAGTCGTGCAATTATGAAACTCCCACTGGCTGTTAGACAAATGGATTTCCTTGACTACCTTGGTAAGACGTTGCTCCCACTGTATCTGCTACGAATTGCTTTTGGTAGTGTTGGTTGTGGTGGAGGGGTGAGATGCTTTAAGGACAGGAGCTTGTTGAATCAGAAGTACAACAGTTCCAGCTGAATTGAAGTTCCATATCAGCTTCAGAAAGCGCAGTCCCACTTTGGAGATCTGTTTCAGGCTAATGTTTATTAAACATTGAACATTGTGCTATAAGTTCATAAATCAGCAAAATTTGGTTTTTTTTGTTAAGCATTTACGAAATATGCAACAATTAAGAATTAAATCTTTAATATCAATGCATGTCTATTCTTCTGAAGCTATAAAATTGCATGAGTTAATTCTAATCTTTTATAATCCAATGCATTACTGCTAGATTTTCTGGTATTTGCTGCAGTGTGATTGCAACATGTTGAAATATTGAGAAGCACAACATTTGGTAATCATGCATTCAACAAGCCGCCAACCTTGCTTCATTACTATCTATGCTATCTATGATGTCACTTCGATGCAGTATTGGGAGAGTGACTTCTTTAGATGTACTGAAGGCTTAATGAGCATTCATAGTACCATTTAAAGACTAGGGGAGTTCTTCAGGAGAGAAGTTTATATCATCCCTTGACCGAGTCTGTTGGTGAGCTTCTATGTTTGCCCAGGAACATAGTTCATTATTATTTCATCGGGATGTTCATAAATGTCCTGAAAGCAAATTGGTTGTACCGATTTAAGATGATTTAAAAAAACTTAAGACCCAGAATTGCTGATTCCTTCAATTTGAGTTTTATTTGGACTTTGTCTGGAAGGCCAGTAACTTGCAGAAACATAGGGTACTTTGCTTGAATGTAGCTTCAATAATATCTAATTTGGAACAGCTCATTTTAAAAATGGGCATCATTTGTGCAGTAATCCAGATAACCATAATATTCAATATTAACTAAGTCCCCTGCCGTATTTTTTTTCACTCTTCACCAGGGATTCAATGTCTTTAATTGTGGCCTTACCAGCAGGGTGTGACTCCAAGTCATTTTTGCTTCATTCGGTTTCCTAATTCATTATCTGCTTCTATTGATGGCAGGGATGCCCTGCTCCTGGTATCTGCTATGTTGACAATGTAGCTATCTATGAACAGATGGTGCCAACCTAATTGGAGGAAGCTCATACCATGCAAACCCTTGTCCAAAACCCTCCTTTTTCTGGGTGCTGCAGCTATTCATGTTTGCATTGAGGGTAGTGGAAAGGAGATGGTTAATCCAGTAGTGCCTGATGTGTGAGACAGGTAGTCTGTATATACTTCTAGTTTGATTAGAGAAACCAAGCAATGTAAATAAGTTGAAGATTCATTCAAGTAGCAAACAGTAATACCTATGAAATAAATGTGAAACTGAAGTTAAATCCACCCTGGATGAGATGAAAAAGGGCAGTGTGTCAAACTGACAGTGCTTTCCTAGAACGTCAGAAAGACTGAGAGAACTTGATTCACCTCACCACCTAAACTGTTGCCCTTGTGGTTTAGAGCTCAAACAGTTTAGATGTTCTAAACAACGTGAGACCAAGGAAAAACGTAGGCCCCTCGCCCTTCGAGCCTTCTCTGCCATTCGGTGAGATTATGGCTGATCAGATTTTAACCTCGACTCTACACTCCTGTATATCTTCCATAATCTTTAATCCCCTTGTAATCAAGAATCTATCCATCTAACTTAAAATTACTTGAAGATTCTGCATCCACTGCCTCTTGAGGAAGGGAATTCCAAAGTCTCAACCATCTGAGAGAAAAAAGTGCTTCATCATCTCTTTTAAATGAGTGCCACCTTAGTTTAAAATTATGACACTTAATTCTACATTTTCCCACATGAGGAAACATCCTTCCAACATTCACCTGATCAAGTCCCCTCAGGACCATATGATTTGATTAGGTTACCTCAGACTCTTTAAAACTCCAGAGGATCCAGGCCTAGCCTGTCTAACCTTTCCTTGTGAGGCAAACTGCTCATTCCGTGTATTAGTCAAGGAAATGTTCTCTGAACTGCTTTCAATGCTTTAACATCCTTCTGTAAGTACAGTGACCACTGCATTACCTAATACTCCAGATGCAGTGTCACCACTGCCCTATCTAATTGAAGTATAACCTTCCTACTCATGTATTCAATTCTCCTCACAATCAACCAGAACATTCTACTGGCTACACTGATTCCTTGCTGTATTTGCATACTAACCTGTGATTCATACAACAGGATACTCAGATCTCTCTGCATCTCGGAGCTTTGCAACCTCTCATCATTTAGACAATATGCATCCTTTTTATTCTTTTGGCCAAAATGGACAATTTCACACTTTTTCGCATTGTGCTGCATTTACCAGATCTCTTCCCACTTGTTTAACCTATCCATATCTCTTTGTAAGCTTCTTCTGTCCTCTTCAGAACTCGCCTTCCTAGCTATCTTTATGCCATCAGCAACTTTTAGTTACTGTACCTTTTGATTCCTTCACTTAAATTAATTCATATAAGTTGTAAAGTGTTGAGGCCTCAGCACTGACCGCTGTAGCACACCACTGATGACATTCTATCAGTCTGAAGAACTCCCACTTATTCCTACTCTCTGCTTTCCATTAGACAGTTAATCTTTTATCCATGTCCATAAGTTACCCCAAAGCCATCAGCTTTTATTTTCTACAATAGCCTTTGACATATCTACCCGTATCCTTAATCCAAAGCACAGTTTACTACTTGTAAACTCCAATAATTAGTCAAACATGATTCCCCTCTGACAAAACTTGATTAGCTGTGCCTGATTACTTTAAACTTGCGCATGAACCCTGTTATAATGCCTTTAATAGTTTATAATGTTTTCTCTATAACTGATGTTAAGTTAATTTGCCTGTAGTTTCCTGCTTTCTGCCTCCCCTCCCTTTTTGAATAAAGTTAGTAATCTAAAGAGATAGTAGGAACTGCAGATGCTGGCGAATCTGAGATAATTTTTCTGAAGAAGGGTCTAGGCCCGAAACGTCGGCCTTCCTACTCCTCTGATGCTGCTTGGCCTGCTGTGTTCATCCAGCTCCACACCTTTGTTATCTCAGTAATCTAAGGAGTTAGGTTAGCTATTTTCCAACATTAAAGAACTTTCCCTGAATTGAATGCATTTTGTAAAATTAAAACCAATGTATCAACTATTTCATTTATTACTTTTGAGAGCTTAGGATCAAATCCATCAGGACCTGGGGAATTAGCAACTCAGTTCCAACAATTTACTCAGTACTACTTTCTGGTAATAATGTTTTTTTGAATTCCTCCCTCCCAGTTCCTAATTTACAGCCATACTTGGGATGTTACTTTTTCATCTGTAGTGAAGACCAACACAATATCTTCAATTCATCTGTCTTTTCTTTATCCTCCATTACTAATTCCCCACACTTCCTTCATATGGGAGCAATACTTGTTAATTTTTTGTTTAAACAAACTAATAAGGTAGCATATACCTCTAAATCAGGGGACATGGAGCTTCTCAAAAATATCAGCATTTGGAGACATAATAATAGGTCTGTACTCCCCATTTCTTGACAAGTGATTACAAAAAATGTGATCTGGTCAAGTCCAACTCAGCTGGGATACCAACCAAATATTATGAAAGCAATTAAGCCATTAACTTGATCAAAAATGCGTTCCAATCCTACAACAATTATTCAACCATCCAAAAATAATATGGACTTGATATTCCTCAAAGCAGTGGACAAACCAAGCCACCCCTTGCCCCCTTTACTTTGGCTTCAGTGTATGGATTAAAAGCGACAGTATCTTCAAGAATTTTAGATGACAAGCATACTTGTTTCCTATGTGCTTCCTATATTGGGGTAATTTAGGAAGAACTTGAGTCATTCTGTGGAAACTAGTGTTGAAAATTTGTGTTTGACTTAAAGAACTTTTTAAAAACAATGAAGAACAAGACAGCCCATTCATCCGTTGAAGCAAATGATCTTCTGTCAGCAAAGGAATTGAGTACATAATCCTGAAGGAATAGAACAAATGTTCAGGGCTTAAATTGATTTATGGGGAGAAAAGCAATCAAGTTAGGTACACAATCTCAGAAGTTGAACTTTAAACCCACATTATATCAATAAACCTATTACCATTTTATTCTCCAAGTATTGTCAAGTTTATTTGTTCATTGAGTGTATTGACTATTGACGCTCACAGCTTAAATCATTAAGCTTGGGTATGAACAGAGTAAAATAAACAGCTGTAGAAAGACCTGCAAGTTAACATTAACTTGAAGCAGGCAAGGCAAAGCATTGAATAAAACCTGTTACACACTTAGTGTGGTTTCTGCATCGCTTGGCGGTACAAAATATATAATGGGAACTGTGAAATGTCAATCACACAGAACAGAATAATTAACAAGCATTTGGAAATTTGGAACATAGTATTTAGGAACAGAATTAGGCCATTCATTCTTTTGAACCTGCTCTATCATTTACTGAGGTCAAGAATGATCTAGTTGTGATCTCAAGTCTACTTTCCTGCCAGCCTTTTCACCACTTGACTCCTTTGTCAATATTTTTTTTAAAAAATCTGTCGAGCTCTGTTTTGAATAAATTTGGTGACACCACCTTCACTATCTGGGGTAGTGAATTCTACAGACAGGCAACCCTTTTGAGAGAAAAGGTTCTCCTCATCCCCATCTTAAAAGGGAGATCTCTTATTCCTAAACTGTGTTCCCTCGTTTTTAGACTTCATTCTACATCTTGTCTGTTGACCTCAGGATATCTCACTATTGTACTGGCCATTATGTGGAGGTGCTGGTGTTGGTCTTGGGTATGCAAGGTCGGAAGTCACACGACAACAAGTTTATTTGAAATCACAAGCTTTCTGAGCACTGCTGTTTCGTCAAGATGAAGGGGCAGCGCTGCGGAAGCTTGTGATTTCAAAATGACCCTAATTAGCAGAGCTGCTCCACCAACTATTTCCCAGCTTCTTGTCTTTCAAAAAATCCTATACCTTTCAATGTTCAGATCCCAGCCCTGGTCACCTTGCTACCTTGTCTCTCTGTTGCTTATCTGGTTATAACTATTTATTTCTATCTTTTGCTAATTCATTTACTTTATTAGGAATGTTGCACACATTCTGATTTAACGATACTCTAAGATCAACACTGTCCAGTCTGTTTGATTGGCACCCCATCCAGCACGTTGAGTGCTTGCTCCCATCTTCACTTCCACACAGTGGAAGCAATGTACATTGGCTCCTCTAACAACGTCTTCTAAACCTATGACCTCTATCTTGAAGGATGAGGGTAGCGGATGAACGGGAACACCTCGAACTTCAAGTTCTCTGAAAGTTCCACACACTCCTGATTGAAACTTTGCCACTTCTTAACTACTGGGGCAAAATCCTGGAAACGTCTTCATAACTGTTGGTGTACCTACACCTGTGCAAGAAGGTAGCTCCCCACCAATGTTTCCAAGGCAGTTAGGGATAAACAATCCAATGCTAGCTTAGCCAGCCACATCTACATCTATATCCCAAATTTTTTTTTTTTAAGAAAAGGCATCTTTCAGCCATTATGGGACATATAAATGTAATATTGGAAAAAAAATATAAAAATCCAAAGTCCTCTGCTAAAGCAGCTCAGTTATGGAAGGGATCTCAAGAAAGCTGGTGTATAGAAACATTAAAAACTAAAACAAAGCATTAAAAAAAAAATTGCCACAGATAATCTAAAATGAAAATAGGTAAATCTCAAATACTGAGGACTGTCCAAAACTTCAGACAATTGGGTTCCCTTAACGAGCATTATTTTTTTAAAAAAATCCCTAAATGCTGTACTGTTATGACCCAATATATACCTTCCCCAGTGAGTAATATTACTTGCAATTTATGGGTTAATAACATTTTGCCAAAATTAGTGGGTTTTTTTTTTTTTTTGGTGAAACCCTGCTAGATGTAACGTTTTAGTTAACAAGGCAAATATAAATTTTCCAGTCTTTAGTTTAACCGAGGATGTAAGTTTGGAGATGTATGTTAGGAAGCCACTTAGGCCCTGGTGCACAGACATATGCTGAAATTGATGGGGAAGGTTAAACACTTGATGCTCTGATTTCAGCTCCTCAGGACACTCTGTGAATGTCTCAAGACCCTGAGCTCGGCAAAACTTTGACCAGAAACAGAGGACTTACCCGCATATCTATCCATTAATTACATCACCAGGTCCTGAGCAAATCGACAGAGTTACAAACTGCCTTGTTCCCAAGTCCTCATGATGTACTGCTTGCTAGAACTTTAAAAGAGATGGCTAATGAGGTAGTAGATGTGTTGGTGTTAATTCTCCAAAATTCTCTAGACTCCAGAAGGGCTTCATTAGACTGCAAAGTAGCAAATAGAACTCCTCAGTTGGGAAGAAAGGTAGAAAACAGGAAACGTAAGGTCAGTTGCTTTGACTTTCTTCATGGGGAAGGTGTTAGAATCACCTATTCAGCAGCTTATAATGAGGCACTTTGAAAATCTTTAGGGGTTTGGGAAGAATCAGCATAGTTCCAGCAGCATGAATTCTTTGAAGGAGTAGTGTGAACTGAAGATAAAGGAGAGTCTGTAGATTTGGACTTCCAAAGGGCATTTGACAAAGTGCCACAAAAGTTTATTGCACAGAGTAGGAGCCCATGGTATAGGGGGTAACACCTCAGCCTGGACAGAAGATTGGAAACTATGCATAAATGGGTCTTTTTCTGATTGGCAGGATTTTGACAGTGAAGCCTGCAGGAGTCTGCTGGAGCTTCAACTTTTTGCAATTTATATCAATGATTTAGTTGAGATGAGCAAGGGGCTTTTGTGGCACATTGGTAGTGTCCATACCTCTGAGCCAGCAGTGCTGGGTTCAAGTCCTACCTTCTCCAGGTATTTGTCATAACATTTCTGAGCAAGATTATTAAAAGTATCCAGATAAGGGAATCAGTAGCATGGTAGCTAAGTCTGCATGTGACAGAGCCTATATTGTGAAGACAATATACAGGTGCAGTCAGTACACATGAAATCTGGAAGCATGTGGGAAAATGTGACGATCTTCATTTGGCAGGAAGAATGCAAAAGCGAACTTCTACTTAAATAGAAAAGTGCAGAATCCTGCGAAGCTGATAGATACATATTTTCAATGCTGGAGTCACAACGTTAGTATGTATATGCAATATTTAACAAGGCTATGGAATACGATCCTTTACTGCAAAAGGAATTGAACGTACAAAAGGATACTGTGCTTCAGTCATGCAAGGCATTTTTATTCCTCTTTTTAAGGAAGAATGTAAATGAATTGTATTAGAGGCGATTCAGAGGAGGTTTTCTGGATTGATATAAGATGAACGGGCTCTTATGAGGAAAGATTGGACAGGCAAGTCTTGTTTTCATTAGCATTTAGAAGATGGTTGAAGTGTCTTGATTGAATCAAATAAAAGCCTGAAGGGTCTTGACAGGATGGAAGTGCAATGATGTTTTCACTTGTGGTCAAGTCTGGAACTAGAGGACGCCATTTAAAAATTAGGTCATGCTTTTATGACAAATGATAATTTTATTTTGAGGCTTGTCCAACTTTGCAACTCTCTACCTCAGAATAGTGAAGAGAGGGTAATTGAATATTTTTGAGGCAGCGATTAGATTTTTGTTCAACAAAGGAATCAAAGCTTAACGGGGGTAGATGGAAACGTGAAACTCAATGCAAACAGATCAGGTATGATTTTATTGAATAGTGGAGCAAAGGTTAGGGGCCAAAGTACCTGCTTCTGCTCTAACTATAAGTTCATTAATGTTAGATTAGATTGAGCTTAGATTTAGATTGAGCAGGTAATTAACAAGCTCTAACCAACGTGACTTAACTAATAGATTTAGCTGCCATTCCTAATCTGTCGTCTCAGCCAACTGAACTACCTCCAGATGACCCTACCAGACTCAACTGACCACGTGACAACACCCCGCTTCCCCCCCCCCTCCCCCACCACCGCCAGACCCACTCTTCGCCAACTATGCATTCACCCATTCTTCAACTCATCTATTCACAAGCTCATTTACTGAAAGACTTGGAGCTTTTTAAAAACTGGCCTGTATGTGGCAGCTACTCTGGTGAAGAGAGGATGTCTCGCACCAAACAGTTTTCTCCAGACATGACTGTGTTGACCCTTTGAAACTTCATCAGGTTCTGAAGATAAAATTATAAGGGTTTTAAAATCTTTACGTGTAGTGACAGGATACTAGGTGCTAACCCTGACCAGAAGACTTAGGCCATTGTGAAGAGTCTTGACATTTTCAAGTACTCTTAATTGAACAGCACTTTAAGAGCTTTTAAGTGAAATTCTGATAATTGGATAAGATGTCAAAACATTTCTAATTGTTACCACAGTAGAAGTTTCCTCAGTTAGACTAATGAGGTTTTCTCTGTACATTATTAAATTAGAATAGATGTTAGCTACATTTGTAACATTGCCCTGTACCCTTGGCAACATTGGAGGCTATGTTTTGTCAAATAGCTATACAACCAATAGCTCTGGCTCTATTTCTAAAGTGAGTAAATCCCAATGTTTAATAAAATCCAGGCCAAGATTTTAAGTAGATTAAAGTTTTATAGTCCCTTCCCACGTGACACTATCCTCTAGCCCAGTCATCAGGTTTGACTTTCTGGAGCAACCACATTAATATTGCCAAAGGAAATTTGCTTCAATGTGTAGTATTAATAGCCAAACATTTGTCTTAATTTTGTGGCATGTATGAACGAGGTTCCCAATGTTCTTCGCTCGTACCTGGCAAAACTACCCTTATGGAAACAGGCTTAGCAGAAAGGAGACATTAGAATGTCAAATAAAAAGAGTTCTTAACCACCAGTGATATACCATCACTGTTAACTTATCCCCACCACTCTTTAGGCTATTTTGCATACTCAGTAAAGAAATCTAATGGCACTCAACCTATTTTTGCCCACTGCTGCCTCGTACTTCCTTGCATGTCTAATATTGAGAATGGACTTGGAAATAATCAAAGGCAGACAGAAAAACACTAAGTGTCTGATATCAAGGGAAAGTTTACATCAATTATTTGGGACTGTTAGTAAACCTCTATACAGGTTTCACTATATTTTGTCATTTTTGTTCCCTCTTTTTAAAGCCATGGGTGGAAGCGCAAAGGCCGTGGCTGAAGTTGAACAGGTAAGATTTTTTGTTTTAACTTGCCCATGGGTTGTAGGTGTCACTGGGAAGTGAACATTTATTTCCTGTTCCTAATTGCCCATGAAATGTTATCTTATGTCACATCAACCTTTTGGGTGCTAGCATGAACTAAAATCTGAATGCATTATAATGCCTTTCGAGAAAAGGAACATGTTAAAGACTCTCAGGTGTATTACTAAGTAAATAATTCTTCCTGGTTTGGTATTATACCCTACAGACAATACTTGAGAACTGTTCCAGATTTGCAGCATGCTGTTGTGAGTGAACTGTTTTGATATGCACACAAGCCAACAACAAAACTAGACGTAACACTGTATGGAGCTGGAGGAGCACAGCAGGCCAGGCAGCATCAGAGGAGCAGGAAAGTTGACGTTTTGGGTTTGGACCCTTCCTGCTCCTCTGCTGCCTGGCCTGCTGTGTTCCTCCAGATCCACACTGTTATCTGACTCCAGCGTCGGCAGCTCTTACTATCTCCTGAACAAAACTAGAGTTTATTTTCTGTGAAAATGTGACAAAGGATGCAAGTGACATCTCAGATGACATGTTTTCATTTGAAAGTGTTAGATTTTTATGAATAGCAGTCACCACACGAATTCAGCAGTTTCTGCAATACATGCAATACAGTATCCAGCTTGCTGTGTCCATCTGTGCCTGCCATTGGCAAGAAGCAGAATGTGTGCTAATATTGCTGAATTAGAAGTCCTATCATAATTAATGATACAATTTGTCCCTCCAATCATTAAGTTGTGAAATGATCACCTTTTTATTGTTTCTTGTGTCAGAAGGTGAAGTTATGCAGTATCTTGATCAGACTCTGTCTGGAGTAAAAGTTTAACATTGAACATTAAAGCTTTTAGGGGATGTTGTTATCTTGGAGGTGATGTAGATTCCCCAGAGGTGTGGAAACTGGCATGGAAAGGCATGCAGGTTGCAAAAACCTGTATTTGTATGTGTTGGGAAGATATGTGAATTGAAGTGTTTAAACCGGTTTTTTTTGTTTGTTTTTGAAGTCATTCATTATATACGGGTGTTGCTGACAGTGCTCACATTTGTTTCCCATCCTTAACTGTCCCTAAGAAAGTGGTGATGAATTGGTGCAATTCACTTTTCAGTGCTAATAGCACAAACTTCAGGATTTTGAGCTGGCAACTGTGAAGGAGTGATTTTAAGTCAGGCTTTTGGGTGAACTTGTGGGTGGTGTTACTCCCATATATCTGCTGCCCTTATGCTTCTAGGTGGCAGACGTTGCAAGTTTGCTGTCAAAGGAGCAATGTATCTTGCGGATGCAACATGCTGCTACCTCTGTGCATTGGGAGTGTCTGTTTTAAGTTAGTGGATGTGGTGTTTGACCCAGAATGGTTTTAAATTTCTTGAAAGTTGTGTGGCTGACAAAAGATGCATTTTGTCAAATCTTTTCACCTTGCCATCATCAGGACACCTTGTAAGAACATCAGTGTAAGCGAGAACAACATTTTCATGCTGTATGAGAAAAGTCCTGATTGGATGGCAGGCAAGTGCACTCAGGTCAAGACATTGTCATGGAGTATGCATGAGTTAGGTGATGACTAACCATTTAATTGCAATGCTTGGTTCACATTTTAACCAAGTAGGTTGACTTTGAATGGTTAAGACATTGAGGAACAAACCAGAGGGGGACTGTTGCCTATTTTGTTCACTTGAAGCCAATGCAATGTATGTAAATATTCTTTCTATCTGGGCAAAACTGTATTTAAAACAAAATTCATTCTAATTTTAGTCTTTTAAATAATGCCCACTGACCTATTTCAAAATAACAATTGTTAGTCTATCTTTAAGTATTTTATCTGCTGGGGAGTAATTTCAATGTTGTGTCCAATCATCTCCTAGACTTGATGAGGAGTATAGAAATCGGATAATCTTCTCTTGTACCTACTGAGTTTCTTTGTTACAGAAACGAATTGATGCTGCCTGTTTGGAAATTGAAGCCATAGAATCTGAAATCTTGAAAGATGCTGCACTGTTAAAGATAACTAAGAAACGTAAGTTAAGAACTTGTAAATGCCAAAATGATTGAACTGTCTACTGTTAAATGTATTTTGACATTTATTTGAAAATTTTATACCTAAAAATATGTCAACGACCTTCTGTATTTGCAGATTTTATAAATGAATGGGGATGTACCATCAGTAACTGTTTCTGTTGCCTTCTGCACTTTGGTGTTATAGTTATAGTTCTTTTCACACTTGCAGTAAGGTAATTTTTGAGTGAAAAACAGATGACCAAATAACCTCACATCAGGCTCCTCGTTTTGGATTTTCTCTGGCAACGCTTTGTAATTTATATGAAAGTCCCTTGTGTAATTCTTGCATCTGTAATGCTTATGATCATAAGAAATAAAAGCAGCACTGGCCCATTTGATTCCTTTAGCCTGTATTGTCATGCAAAAAGATAACAGATCTTGTGGCTTTACCTCCACTTGAGTGCTTGCCTTCGTCACCCTTGACTTCCTTGTAGATTACCAATCTTTTTCTTTACCTTTTGAGTGGTTAGGGAACACAGAAGAATGTTATGCAAAGGAACCTGACAGCACTAGTAATCAAAGTCTCAAAGGAAATGTAACATTTTCCTTCTAGGCCTGTAAAAGGTGAATGTGTAACCCACCATACCCCTGAATCAAGGACGTCTGAAGTCATTTACTTGGTCAACAAAAAATCTTATGTACTGGTGAATCTTGGGCCACACGTTGTTCTTAATCTTCAGGGATCAATTTGCTTATTAACACCTTTTTAGTGTATAAATTTTGAACTTCAATGCAATGAGAAAAATTTATTCTTTCCAAACCTTCAAGTATTCTAAACAGGACTAACCCCAGAAAATAACCATAATACAAATTGACCATATTACATTAATCATAATACAAACCTCACTTTGCAGGATCGCTTGGTATTTTTCCTCTGTCTCCTGCAATATTTAGCATTTCAAGAACTAGAAGTGATGCCAATCAATGGCTTAATTGGTAGCGAGCAATGTTTAGGCCCAGCTATGCTTTCCTGTTCTCTCTGTATGTAAGTAAGCACATACTTATAAATGTTGCAATTAATTTGAAAAGTTATCGCTGCAGGTAAAATCAAGGCAAGGAATGATGGTGATGGAGTTGTAAGTGAGGATGAAAATCTTGCTCCTTCGACCAAAATGTTCCGAAAGGTTAGTTTATTTAAAAATATCTTGTACTTTTTTTTTTTTGTTTAACAGATAAATTGTAGTCAGTAAGTGGGTGAAAATCTGCACAATGTAAGTGAGCGAGCAGCACTACAACTAAAAATCTTGTTTTGCACAAACACGTGTCCACAATTCTGGTTACTTTAACCAGAAGACTGAGAGGGACACTGGAGAAAGATTTGGATTTTCCTTGTGTTCACTACTCTAGCTGTATTATACTAATGATCAGCTAAAACCTAAAGTTGAACAAATTGTGGTCTGCCTTCGTATAATTGTCTCCTTCAAATAAATGTATTTTTTCCTGGATTTGATCTGTTTTGATGTTGTTTTCCTCTGGTATATACTGGAGACAGGTTTTAATAAATTCTGGTTGGGCTGGTCAAACAGAAACCAAGAGACATAGAATTTCTTTGTGCAGAGAGTTTATTTACTATACCGGTACAACAGTTCTGCCTCTGTCACAGCTGTTCTCTTTATATATCCAGACATAAATTAAAAGGCATCACTTGTTTCACTTCTAATCTTAAAACGCTTGTAGTAACAGCTAGCTTATAACTTTCTATTGCATGGGTTTTCAAAGAAAGATGAGCTCTTTTCCTAATCTGTTTGTGTCCACAAACGTACTGGCTTCTTTGTCCTGGTACCGAGAAGAAATTATTTCATGAGAGATATTCTTGTGTTTGTTTCGGAGCAACGTACTCGGTGCTTAATTCAATTTCTATTTTAGCCTGTTTTAAATTTCTCTTGCCCTAAGACCAGAAGATACAGAAGCAGAATTAGACCATTCGGCCCAGAGTCTGCTTCACTATTCAATCATGGTTGATAAGTTTGTCAAGTCCATTCTCCTGCTTTCTCCCCGTAACCCTTGGTCCCCTCACTAATCAAGAACTTATCTAATTGTGCCTTGAATACTCTCAATGACATGCCCTCCACAGCCCTCTGTGGCAATGAGTTCCACAGATTCACTACCCTCTGGCTGAAGAAATTGCTAGTTATCTCCGTTCTAAAGTGTTGTCTATTCACTCTGAAGCTGTGCTCTTAGATCCAATCTCTCCTCGTGGAAACATCTCCATGTCTACACTATCCAGGCCTGTCAGTATTCAGTAAGCTTCAATGAGATTTCCCCCTCATCCTTCTAAACTCCATTGAGTACAGAACCAGAGTCCTCAACCGCTCCTCGTGTGATGAGCTCTTGGTCCCCCAGATCATTCTTATAAACCTCCTGTGGACTCCCTCTAAGGCAGCACATCCTTCCTTCTACACGGGGCAGAAAACTGGTCGCAATATTCCAAATGTATTCTGACCGCAGCCCTATAGCGCCTCAGCAGTACATCCCTGCTTTTGTATTCTAGCGCTCTCAAAATGAATACTAATATTACATTTGCCTTCCTAACCACCAATTGAACCTGCATATTAAACTTGAGAATTCTGAACTAGGACTCCTAAGTCCCTCTGTGATTCAGATTTCCAAAGCCTTTTCCCACTGAGAAAATTGTCTATGCCTTTCTTTTTCCTACCAAAGTGCATAACGTCATGCTTTCCTACACTGAATTCCATCTGCCCCATCTTTGCCCATTTTCCTAGTCTGTCCAAGTCCTTCTGCAGCCTCCCAGTTTCCTTAAGTCTACCTATCCCTCCACTGACCTTCATGTCATCCGCAAACTTAGCAACATTGCCCTCAGTTCCTTCATCCAGATCATGAATGAATAACCTCAATAGTTGTGGTCCCAACATGGACTCCTGCAGAACTCCACTAGTCCCTTGCTGTCATCCTGAAAAAGACTCTGCTTTCTGCCTTCTGCCAGTCAGCCAGTCCTCCATCAATGCCAGTACCTTGTCCCTAACACTATGGATTGTTATCTTATTTAGCAGCCTCCTGTATGGCACTTTGTCAAAGGGCTTCTGGAAATCCAAATAGATCGCATCCACTGACTCTCCTTTAACTTGCTCATTACCTCTTCAAAGAATTCTTACAGATTTGTTGGCATGATCTCCACTTGAATGTGTGCTGATTCAGCCTTATTTTACCATCCACTTCCAAGGACTTTGCAATCTCATCCGTAATAGATTATAAAATCTTGCCAATGACTAAGTCAAGCTAATCAGCCTATAATTTCCTATCTTCTTCCTCTCTCCCTTCTAAAACAGGAGTGTTACATTAGCCAGTTTCCAGTGCTCTGGCACACTCCCTGACTCCAGTACTTTCTAAAAGATCACCACCAATGCCTTGACAATCTCTTTCTGAACTTGGTTTAGTCCATCTGTTCTGGGTGATTTATCCACCTTCAGACCTTTTCAGCTGCTTCTCCTTACTGATGGCCACCGCGCTTACCTCTGCCTTCTGGTTCAAAATTCTAATATACTGCTGGTGTCTTCCACTGTGAAAACTGATGCAAAGTACCTATTCAGTTCCTCCACCATTTTTCCCCCTTTTCTACTTCTCCAGCCTAATTTCCCAGCGATCCAATGTCTACTCTTGCCTCTCTATTACCTTTTTTTTAGATATCTGGAAAAGATTCTTGCAGTCTTTTTTTTTTTTTATTACTAGCTAGCTTACCCTCGTATTGCATCATCTTCCCCGCCCACCCTTATTGCTTTTCTTGTTATCTTTTGTTGGTTTTAAAGCCTTCACCATCCTGAGCTTCCCACTAATCTTCCGATTGTATGCTTTTTATCTTGCTTTCATGTTGTCTCTGACCCCTCTTGTCAGCCATGGTTGCCTCATCCTTCCCTTAGTATGCTGCGTCTCCCTTGGGATGAATTTCTGCTGTGCCTCCCAAATTCCACCCAGAAATTCCTGGCATTGCTACTCCACTGTCTTCCCACTACGTTCCCCTTCCAATCAACTCTGGCCAGATCCCCCTTCATGCCTTTCTAGTTATCTTTACTCAATTGTAGTACCATTACATCTGATTCCAGTTTCTCCCCCTCAAACTGTAGGATGAATTCTATCATATTATGGTCAATGTTCCCTACGGGTTCCTTTAGCTTAAGCTCCCTAATCAGTCGTCTTCATTACGCATGACCAGATCCTGAATTGCCTGTTCTCTCATGGGCTCTACCTCAAGCTGCTGTAAGAAACTATTTTGTAGATACTCCACAAATTCCTTTTTTCAATCTTCTACCAACCTGATTTTTCTCATTCGATCTGCATATTGAAGTTGTCCATGATTATTGTAATGGTGCCTTTCTTACATGCCTTTTCTATCTCCAGATTATTCTTTTTCTCCGCATTCCAGCTACTGCTAGAAGGCTTCTACACGACTACCATCAGGGTCTTTTTCTCTTTTGCAGTTCCTCAACTCTACCCACACAGATCCTAGATCTTCTGAGTCTTAGCACATCTTGCTATTGATTTAATTTCATTTTCTTACTAACAAGGCAATTACGATTTTAAAGTTAGCTGTATTAGTAATTCTGAAATAACTAGGATTAAAAATTACAAACTTTAAAGATTTGTTGTCAGTCCTGCTAAAGATCAGTTTATTCATCAACCCTAGTCATCCTCTGAAGGCCACCTTGAACCCCTGCAGACCTTGTGCGCTACAAGTGCTTCCAGCCTAGCATTAGGTGTTGAATTTCAGGTTATTGACCAGAATAGAAATGTTATGTTGCAGTGTTGTTGCAATGGTGTCCTGTAAATAATGCTGCAGCTATGATCTTAGTGGTAAATGGATAATGCATTCAATGATAGGAAATCCAGTCAAGTTGACTGATTCATTGAGAATGGGATAGTACCTTAAATATTAGGGACTGCAGCAATCCTGGTGGGTATTCGATTTTGACTCCTGGCTTGAACTTTGTAGATGCTCAAGTGTCTTGGAAGGATCAGAAGATGAGCCAGAAGTCTCATAATACCCAGTTTCTGTTGTGCTTTTATAGCTAATAGCATTAACATGATTGCTGCAGTTAAACATTTAGTCTGAGGTGATTACCATCACAGTGGTGGTATTGAAGGTAGGAGAGGCAGTTGAATTGCATTGAAGATAATCATTTTCTGCAGTTTGCCCAAGTCTGACTAGAATGTTGATCGAAACTAACATTTTCTGTTATTATTCTCCTAATAGAGTAAAAAAACTGTAACCCTGTCAGTTAAAAGTAGGCCTCCATCAGCATGTGCCACAAGTACTCGGACTAGAAGGTAAGCACTTGTCTCCAAAAATGCTTATTCCTGGTACATGAGATTAATAACTTCATGCCCTGATCAGTACAGCTGAGAGTTTACATACTCATAGTGCATCTTGAAAATTTTGTCACTTTTATGACCTTGTTACTGCTTTATGGCAGTGTTGATCATGGAATAGTCAACAATTGAAAGGCCATTTGGCCCTGTCTGTCTGTGCTGGCTCTCGGCGAGAGCAGTTCTTCGAGTGCCATTCTGCTCTTTATCTGAGTAGCCGTGCAGTTTTTCTTTCCTTTTGGATAATCTCATTCTCCTTTGTCACAATTGAATCTACCTACACCAGACTCTCTCAGGCAGTCTATTCAGGGTTCTAACTACTTGCTATGTAAAAATATGGTGACTCATGTCACCATTTCACCTTTTTGCCTATACTGTGCTTTTTGGTTTTTCGTCGGTTTCTTTCCGCCTATCCTGTACAAGATCCTTGTGATTTTGAGTACCGCTAGCAAATCTCCTCCTCTTAAAAGATTTTAGACCTAACTTCTCAAATCCAATAAGCAACTGAAGAACCTCATCCCTGAAACTATTCCCGTTATCTGCACCCATTCTAATACCTTCACATGCTCCTGAAAGTGTTATGCCCCAAACTGAACACAACGCTGAGGCTGAACCATTTTTTATATTGGTTTATCGTAACTTTTTTGCTTTTGTGTTCTGTCTCCATTTATAAAGCTATCCTAGGATTTTAGATGGTTTTTCTTTTTAACTGCTCTTCCACCTTTGACTGCTTTTACACGTAGCCCCAGTACCTTCTGCTCTTTCACTTCTTTTAAAATTACTGGCCCTCATTTTTCCTACCTAAATGAATTACTTCACCCCTTGAACGAGAAAGGGAAGAAAGGCTTATAGATAGATAGTTTTTTATTTCATGGGCACAACATTTTTACAGTAAATGCTTTGCACCCAATTAATACATTTTTGAAGTATTGTGTTTTTAAATATGGCCACTAATTTATGCACCAGCTCCCACAAACAGACTGGGTTTCTTTTTTTTTTTTGTGCAATCTTGATTAAATGATAGGTATTAGTCAGGACACCAGCAATAACTCCCTTTACTTCTTGCACCATAAGATATACAAGCAAATGTACGCAATTTGACCCATTGAGTCTGCACCAGTGTTTAATAAGATCATGGCTGACCTAATAAGCTTCAACTCTACCTTCTTGTCTTTATCCCCCATAACCTTTGATTCTCTTACTGATTTTAAAAATCTGTCTCTGCCTTAAATGTATTGAACAACAGCTCTCTGTGGTAAAGAATTCCACATTACAGTCTGAGAAAAGAATTTCCTCCTCATCTCTGCCCTAACCAGGCAACTCCTTACTCTGACATTATTCCCTGTGGCCCTAGACACTCCCACAAGGGGAAACAACTTCTGCAAAACCTTGTACAGCAAACCTTGCTTAAACCAGCAAAAATTATATACCTCAAATACTGCAATCTATCACGATGTACAAGTATTTATGCTGTAAATAAAGTATAACTGTGATGTGTATATCTCAGCATTATGTTTCTGTTATGTATGGTGTGTTTTTACATTTGATTTTTAGGAGGCGTGTTGATGTTTTTACATAGATCTTTTTGAGTATGTCGATATCTCAAAGCTTCGCTTGGTCAGGATTTACTGAAGTTATGCATACCTCTCTCGATTATCTGGAATATTTGATCAACCGGTACAGTCTGGTCCCATAGGTGTCACTTAATAAAATGTTTGCTATATATTTCAAAAAGGTTGCTTCTCATTCATAAAATCAGCACAGGCCGTACCTACTCAATTTCTCAAAGTCTCTAAATACCCAGAATCAATCAAATGAAACATTTCTGAACTGCATCCAATTCCAGTAATTCTTGCTTTGATATAGGGACCAAAATTGCTCATAATATTCTAGGTGTAGCCTAACTAGTAACTTTTATCATTTTTTTTAAGCAAGAATTCCCTATTTTTATACTCCATTCCCTTTGGAATAAAAGCAAAAGATCCATTTGCCTTCCCTATTTAACTGTTAAACTGGTGTGCTAGGTTTTTTTTGATATATGCATGAGGCCATATCCCTCTGTTCAGCAGCTTTCTCAATCTTCCTCCATTTAGATAATATTTGGTTCTTCTCTTCTTCCTGCCGGAGTTCAACACTTAGATGCAGAAGGCCATTTAGCCCATGAAATCTGCTCTGCCATTCGATAAGGTGGTTGGTCTGATGATCCTCAATTCCACTTTCTGGCTTTTCCCCATAACCCTTGATTCCCTTACTGGTTAAGTATATTCAAAGCTGAGACAAATATTTTTAATGATCCAGCTTCAACAGCCCTCTGGTAAAGAATTCCACAGGATCAGTACATTAAGGAGGAAATTCCTCCTCCTCTGTCTTATATGGGCAGTCCTTATTCTGAGCCTATGTCCTCTGGTCCTTGGCCCTCCCTCAAGGGGAAATAACTTCTCTGCATCTACCGTGTTAGTCTCCTAACAATCTTGTATGTTTCAATAAAGTTACCTTTTGAGTACAGGCCCAATGTACTTTCCCCTCTCCTCAGGCTGTCCCTCCAGACCTGTTATCAGTTTCGTGAGCCTTGCCAGGATGTCTCCAAAGTCAGTACAACTTCTCTTAGATAAAAGGTCCAAAATTGTTTATTATTCCAGTTGTGGTCTAATTAGTGACTTGTATAGTTTTAGCAAAACTTCCTGACTTTTTATTATTTTATTCCGTTTTGAAATGAAGACCAACATTCCATTTGCCTTCCTTTTTTTGCCTGCTGAAATTGGATGCTAGCTTTTTGTGAGTCATGATGAGGATTCACAAATCCCTCGGTTTCATAGTTTTCCACAGTCTTCCTCCATTTAAAAAGTATTCATCCCGTCTTCCTGCCAAAGTGCATAACCTCACATTTCAGCACATCATTTTCCATTTGCCAAGTTTTTGCCTACTCGTTCAACCTGTCTACATCCCTATGCAGATTCTGTGTCATCTGCACCACTTGCCTTCCTACCTATTTTTGTCCTCTGCAAACTTGGCTTTAGTACATTCACTTTCCTAATCTAGGTCATTGATATATGTTGTAAGTAATTGTTGCCCCAGCATTGATACCTGTGGCGCACCATAAGTTACAAGTTGCCATCCAAGTTATTCATCTATAAATCATAAATAATATGACCCCAGCACTGGTTCCTGTGGCACTCTAGTCATCTTGAAAATGCTCCTTTGTCCCAACTCTGTCTAGCTCATAGCAGACAATCCTCAATCCATTCTAATATACTGCCCCCAGCATAGCTCTTGTCTAAAGTAGCCTAGTGTGTGGGTACCTTTTAATGGATTAACTTCTGGAAATCCAAATATTATAACAACTGATTGAAGAGGTAACAAGCAGAATAAATAAAACACAAAGAATTCTGATAAATTTGTCAAGCATGATTTCCCCTTCTTGAAGCCATGCTTATACTCTGCTTAATTATATTATGCATTTCTAATGCTCTGCTACCACAGTTTATAATACATTTCCAGCATTTTCTCTACAACAGACCTATAATTGACCTATACTGGCCTAAAATTGCCAGTTTTTTGATCCCCTTCAGTTTTAAATGAAGATGTTACACTAACAGTTTTTCAATCCACTGGAACTTGCCAGAATCCAAGGATTCTCTGAAGGTCACTACGAGTGCATCCGCGATCTCTAAAGCTACATCCATTAGTATCCTAGGATGCATTCCACAGCTCTACAGAACTCATCAACTTATAGTCCAATTTGTTTCTCTAGTGATGATTATTGTTTATTTCCTCTTCCCCTTTTTTTTTTTTGTCCCTTGTTTTGTATTTATTCAATTCCTCTGCCATTTTCTGGTTCCTCATTCTCGAAGAGACCCATATTCACTTTGGCATCACTCCTTCCTTTATATATATTTAAAGAATATAATGTCCGTCCCAATGTTACTTGCAAGTTTACCCTCAAGTTTATTTTCTTACCACGGTATTTTTTTTTTTCTTTTGTTCATCCTTTTGGTTTTTAAAATATTCCCCAACCTTTGGCTTGCCACCACTCGTTACCATGTGCTTTTTCTTTCAATTTGATGCTATCATCAATCTCTTTCTAGGCACATCAATTTCATTAGTACCAAAATGGATTACCACCCCACCACACAACCCTGAGGAGATGTCCTTACCCTGGCACTTAACAGACAACACAGACTTTGGGACTGGCATTCATGGTTACAGAGAACAGGTTTATTCCCTCAATTATACTGTGCCGTACCGTTACTACATTCCAATTTTTGTCCCTTCAGCTTAAGTAGCTCCTGGTACCATGGTCCATGGTCAGTTTGTTCATCCTCCCTGCAGTCTCCAGTTTAGTTTTAGAGCATGGTTGGCATGGACTAGTTGGACTGAAGAGTCTGTTTCCATGCTGTGTGGCTCTATGACTCTATAAGTGTGGGGGCCAAGGCTCTTTGAGTGCCACCCTGGGTCCCCATACCTGCATCCCCTGTAGTCACGTTTTTTTTTTTCATCAAAGACTAGATTTCAGTTATCTTGTTTGAAGGAAATGACTTCCCCAGAGCAAAGTGTCCAGGTAACTTCCCACTTCCTTGAAGTGGCGCAATATCTGCAATGCAACTCCAGGTCCTTGACTCAGATCTGAATTTCCTGAAGCTGCAAATACTTCATACAAATGTGTTCACTCTGAATCATTCTGGTGTCCAGCAGCTTCCACCTACTGCAGCAGCAGCACATCATCTGTCCTGCCATCACTGTCCTATTTGAGTTAATTTATTTATTCATTGCTCTAGATTCCTTGCTCTTTACAATTTGTTACTTTTTAAATATATAATTAAATGTTGTACTTAAGCTATTTTTGAAAAAAGACCAGAAACTTAAACAGAAGTTGGGGTCTTACTTTTGAGACTAGAATTAGTCATCAATTCTGCTTGCCAGTCAGCTGCTTTGCCTGCATTTGTACCATGTTCTACATTCTCTCTCATTTTTCTTGCTGCTGCACAGATCTTCAAGATCCATACGTGGAGGTGCCTTCTAGAATTGAAAGTCAGTGTGTCCACACATCAGCTGGTTGGAGACGCTGCATTTGTGTAACCCAAAGGGAGCATTGGTCACGTCATGGTTGTAATGGATCTGCAATTTTTAATCCTCTCCCACTCCCCTGTCTTTGGAGAGTTTGCTTCTTGCAGTAAACCTTTGTTAAAGCACCTCTATCTCCCTTTGACTAGTTTCCCACTTTGAACCAAATTCCCAGCTTTTCTCATTTGGCCTTTGTCTCACTCGGAGGAGTGAGGATGGTGTCTGCACTCAGATTGACTATTGACTGTGCTGCTCCCTGGTAGTAGTGCCATCTTTTGCAACATCTTGTAGTCAGATGAGGCCTCTGTTTAATATCTTATCAAAAGACTGCGCCTCTGACAATACAGCACTCTCTTAATATATCACTGGAATATCAGGCTTATTTTTATGCTGAAGCCATTTAGTGGGACTTGAACCTGAATCCTTGTGATTCATTGGCTGAGTGTGCTATCAACTGAGCTATGGCTGACTGCAGTACATTTTACCTATCGCATGTCCGTCCTTTGCACCAACCTATCACGGATTTGACTATTTCAATTTTAAAAATAACCAGCAGCACAGCTTTATGCTTAAACAAAATGAAGGTTAGTTTAGTTCAAAACTACTGTAGATATGTAGGAAAAATTCCCTGTTATTAGCTAAATGTACATGTACAAAGATAATAGTAGGTAACAAGAAAGATGTTTATAAAGATGTAAATAAGATCAGTCCCTAAGATCTAGTTGTTACGGTCCAGCATCTGGCAACAGAGATACTTCACCTTTGTTGGAACTTCTTCAATTTTCATAATTTAAAAATAGTGAAAAGCTCTCAAAGGCAATTCACCATATCTCTTATATGAATCTTGTTGATGTGGAGTGATAAACTGGTAGGGTTAATAAATATCAGAAAACTGTATCCAACTAGTTTTAAGTTCTGAGACATGATTGGTTGTGCAGTTTTTCCTCAGAAATCCAATGTTTTTTTCCATGATGTGCAAGCAATAACTTAAAGGAGAAAATCAACTTGTATTTGTATCTCATTTATATAATTTTTTTGATGTAATAAAATGCTCAGAGGCATTGCAAAACAAAACTTGGCATCAAGCCACGTAAGATTTTAGGGCAGGTGGCTTCAAAAAGGTGTGTAGAAATATAAGTAAGCCATTCGTCCCCTGTGGTCTACACTGACATTCTAGCTCATAATTGATCATCTGCCTCCGTGCTATTTTCTTGTGTTATCCCTATATCTTGCATGTCAGAGTCTGGCGATCTGTCAATGTCTACCTAGAGCATACTTGATGACTGAACTTTCACAGCTTTCCAAGATCGAGAATTCCAAAGATCCTCTAAAGAAGTTCCTCTTTATCTCAGTCCTATATGCTTATTTTGAGACTGTATCCTTTAGTTCTAGAATTCCCTCATCCAGCCACCCCAGGAAACCACCATTGCTTCTTGTATAGCCTTTAAAGAATTTTGTCAGTTTTGATGAGATGATCTCTCATTTTTCCAAACTCTTTAGAATACAGACCGTGTTTCCTCAATCACTTCTCCTTGGGTAATCCCGTTACCTCAGGAATTTGTCTGATGAATCTCCACTTTACACCTCTGTAGCTAATACATCTTGGGTGAGGAGGCCAAAATTGCATACTACTCCAGATGCTGTGTCACTAAGTTTCTATACAATTGAAGCAAGACATCTTTACCACAGTCCTTAAGCCTCTTGCAATAAATTTCAACATACCATTTGCATTGTTTGTATGTTTTAAAAGACGTCTTAAAGAAAAATTTGCCTTTGCATAGTTTTTTCATAAATGGACATTAAATGCTTAAATAGCTAATGAATCACTTTTTGAAACGTATTCACTGTTGAAACATGGGCAGATTAAAAGGGGAAAAGAGGGAATTCCAGTTCTTGGGAACTTGACAATAGAAAGCATCATCAACAGCAGTGAGACAATCAAATCCAAGTGTTTAAGGCTAGAAATGGAGACGTACAGATGTGAGGTGTAGTTCTAGAGAAGATTAGAGATCAGTGGGAAAAATGTGAGTTGGGATAAGGGTAATGGAGTTTTGGCTGAAACGGAATTGTAAAAAGGGTAGGATGTGCAAGGCCAGTCAGAAGTTTAAAGAATAAATGACTCCTGCAGAAGCAGGAAGAGAAGATACACCCTGGATTAGTTACAGAAGACTGCAAAAATATCCTGCTGTAATTCCACTCCAAGACAATGGAATGAAACTGAAGATAAAGCCAGGGTCAATTATATCAAGGCCTACAGAAAGGATGTGAAGAACTTGGGAGATAGTTCGACTTTGTCAGAGTCACACAAGTTAAGAGCCTTCTTGAAATTGCTCTGGTAATGCAAGTCTGATTTGAAACATGGACTGCAATAAGGGAAGGAAAGATTTAGAGGTGATGACACAATCAAGAACTTTGAAGAGAAAAAGAACATTGGATGTGGGATATTAATTTAAAAAAAAACCCTTTGGCATTCTAAGGGGATAGATGACAATAACAGATATGAAAGAGAAGACAGTACCTTAGAGGGGAGAGCTGTTCACAATATCAGCTAATGCTGGGACCAGAAAGGGATGCTTGGCAGTAGGTCAGTTGTAGTCATGAGGAATCTGAACTCTAAGAGGGTGAATAGATATGGGAAAACCTAGAGGACGATTGAGTTCATGAGTAGGGTTGGCAGGCATGTCATGAAATGTGGCTGTGAGTGAGGGAAAGGGAGGAAGGAAAGCGATAATAACAGTTGACCAAATGGTCTCAACTTTGGCATTCTGAGATGATCCTGGAATATTGAGCAGTTTTGGCTGCTAAGAGCAAGATCCAATCATACTTTATATAGTCCAGCCAGATCTGAGTGACTAAACCAATTGTCCTCCACATCAAATCTGTTGAAGTCTGCATCCCTTGCATTTGCGGTTAGAGATGAAGACTACCAAGTGGAATAGCCAGGGTAATAGTTTAACTGGGGACTGTCATCCGAGGTGGAAGGGAGAATGTAGTACACAAGATCAGTAGTTGAAGAAATTGTGAATGGAGGACCAAAGGCTGGGCACTTAGAAATTTTGAAACTACGGTTGTAAGTGAGTTAAATGATTTTTCCAGGGCAGAAAACAAAGGTTGGGAAGGGGGTGGAAGGACGAGGCAATGTATGATGGCAAGTTCAAAGTTGATGGCCATGAATGTGTGTTGGGAAGCTCTGGTGATGGGAGAGATTAAGATAGGACAATAAACTTGGAATATAATAAATTAAGAGGAAGGTTGAACTCTGATGATGATGATGATGATTTAAAGATTACAACCACAGCAGTCCCATAATAGTCTATGAGGGGCAAATAGATGGAATACATAATCAAATTGGAGGGGTGACAGGGTTTCCTTTAGAGAAAATGTGTCATCACATGCTCGGCAGGTTTGTTTCAAAGCTGTGATGTCCACTTTATTATTGACAATAATCTCCTCAATGGTAAATAGATGCTTATAAGCTGTTTCCACTGGCTGTAGCATCCTAGAGCAAGGTGTTGTCATTTCAGGGTTTAAGTGTCAGCTATTTTGGACTGATGAGAAATTTCTTCATTCCAAGGTCAGGAATTTCTGAAGGCAACAGACTGTCGATTTAATTATTTCCAAAACTAAAGCTTATAGACTTTTGGGCAGTAACAAAATTGAAGAATTGTAGTAGTATAAATGTTTGGCTCTGATCATATTGGACAATGGAATGATTCTGCCTTATAACTGACACCTGCTTTGATTTACTTTGATAAAGGAATACACACGTTTGTGGCAGTACTCAGTCGTGTTAGTGAACTGCTAATTTTTCTCAAATTTTCCAAACAAAAGGTACAACTTTGAAAAGCTCATAGTGAAATCTGAATTATAGTCTGAAATATTTAATTTCCTGTATGTATACATCTGTCAAGCACTAGGTTTGATTTGGTGTCTGGAAATGGGTAAGTAAATTTTTCCCCTCTGACTTTTCACAAAATATTGTTTGTTCGATTATACAGGAACAGCCGAACGAAGGGCCTACATTCTACAAGCAACAGTGATATATGGGGACCCACACCACTGATAACACCTAAATTTGATTCAAGGTCAGCTTATTAAGAGTTCATCTATTTAATAGTAATATTGAAGTTTCTATGAATTGTAAGCTGAAGAAACTTTATATACTGGTATCTGAACAGAAACATTTGGTGTGAAAAGTTTTTTTTTTTTTTTTTTCCCCCTTTTTTTTCTATTAATTTAATTGTAAGATGTGAAATATCCCTCTACCCTCCCTCCCTGTAAGATTTGTTTTAGTACAAAAGCATTCAAAAACATAGTTATGTAGCTGAGACCATCTGTTTGGTAAATAGACTGCCAAAGACGACAACGCGCTTACGAAAAGTGGGGGAGCGTGTATATAGTTTTTCTGGAAGCCCACTGGCTGAACCCAAAGAAATGACCATCAATATTCCAACTCAGGATGGACAGGTGAGCTGAGCAGACTTGAAGGCTTTCATCATCATTTCTCTAGCAGTTTCTCAATGTGTAAATGAGATTTTTTAGCATCCTGTGGTTCTAGTGAAGACTGAATCAAATTTTTCCTATGATTTAGAATATTCAACTTCTGGCCAGCAAAATAAACAATACAGATTTTACTCAACTGGATGACAGGACATTTAAAAGTTTTGAGCAACTATCTGTAAGTATTATTTTTCTCAGCTGAGCTTTTGGCTTACCGTGAATTTTCTTGTAGCACGTGGATCTTTATAGCTCCCAAATGAGGGTAAATGTTACTAACGTGATTCCCCCATTGGGAGGTGGTGTCCTTACCTTTTATCCTCAACTTCTCTCTCCTTTTTTTTTTTCTTCTTTTTTTTTTCTCTCTTTCTCTCTTTTTCTCTCTTTTTTTCTCTCTCGCTCGCGCGCACTCGCTGGTTGTTTGTTGGGTCCTCTCGCTTCCGCCCCCCCACCCTCACCTTGACTCCAATGTACCTATCGGCTCACTGTTCTTGCATTTATTCATCCATTGTTCGTTGATGACACGGCCTTTGTCTTCCAGACCCCTGCAACCACATTCTAACAAACTTGCACTGTAGTTTGTTGAGTTACCAGTGTTTTGGGTTTCAACAGTTTTGTCTTTAATATTAAATGTCTACTTTGTTGAAGTTAAAGTGCCTGAGAAAACAAATACTTTTCCAAGTGCATGTCTGTAAAGTTAGTTTTTTCCACACTTCAGGGAATTCTGAGATAAACAGGTTGACCCATTAGCAACTCTTTCTCTCTTCACATAAAGAAATACTGCTTCTGAGTTTGCATGAACCTGGCCATGAATTTAGCAATTTCCGCAATTGGACCTTGCTTTTAAAACATCTGATTGTCATGTATCAAAATATATCCTTGAAGAATGGGAACTTAAGAGGTCAGATACTAGAACTATGAAGATTTCCTCCTTTTTTTTTCCATTCTTATCAGTTCCGGCAAATTGGCTAACGTAGGGTGCTGAAATCCATTATAACACGTGTATTAAAGAATGAACAACTTGAATAATTGCTTGTATAATTGAATGATGTCACTCAGATTTCTCTTAATTTCAATATTGTTGAGTGCGCAGGTGGGCTTTGGGGAAGAGGTGTGGAATAAATGTGCAGTATTCTAATTTGCATTTGCTTTTACCCTGTAGCGTCAGCTCAATGAAATATTGAAGACACGAAGATGAAAGCTCGGGTGCCAGCCTTTCTTACTGGTTTTAAGTAGTATACCATTTACATTGTACTTGGATAGTGATTAAAGCTCTTTTTTTTTTTTGTTAAAACTGTATTTGTTAATAAATACTCCTTTTTTATATAATCAGAAACTGCCCACTACTGGTTCCACTACTGTGCAAAGAAACTGTTTTTGTGTCTCTGAATTTCAAGCCATATCTATGTTCTGGCTGGTTCATGTGTTCACTATGGTGCAAAGCTTTGTCTAAATTCACAACAATTAAGGATTCAATATATATTATTCTAAATGCCAGAATTCATTGTCCATGCCTCATTTAGAAAGATGATTGTGGGAATTTTCCCAAACCACCAATCCAAGCAGTGAAGGTACTTAGTAGTTTGATCTTTTTTGCTTTCTTTCTAGGCCACTTTTCTGAACAGTTTAGAATATGCTGCACTTTTTATAGTATTATATTGCATGTAACCTTGACTGGGCAATGGTGGCAGGTTTCATTCCCTAACAAAGTCAAATTTTGAGCCAATGGTGGGAATTGAAGTCAAACTCTAGATTGTTAATCCAGTGACACATTGCTCCCTGGATTTTCTCCTGTGAGTAAAATAATTAAAATACAAAGACTTCAATTTTTGTATGCGTTATATTTGCTCACTTTTTAGAGGAGGCGTTAGTAAGACCAGTTGTAATTAAAAGTTGGAGTCTCCCCTGGACTAGATGAGATGTTTCCGAAGATACTGAGGGAGGTATGGGTAAGAACTGCAGAGGAACTGACCATAAAATTGCAATTGTCTTGAGGAACAGGACTGGTGCCAGAAGACTGGAGAACTGTGAATGTTGTACAGTTGTTCAAATGTGTGTACAAGCTGGGGTTACCCTGAAGCTAGAGACTTGTATCTTTAACCTTGATTGTGGGAAAACTTTGGGGTGATACTCCAGCATAAGTTTGCAGTCACTTGGATAAGTGTGGATTAATTAGGGAAAGCCAGCATGATTTGTTGAAGGCTGCATGTATTTAACAAACTTGAATGAGAATTTTGATAAGTGAATAGAGAGCGTTGATATGGTGTATATAAACTCCCTAAGAATGTTTGATAAAATGGCATAGAATATGCTTGCCAGATAAGTAAAACAAAAGAAATGAGGCTCGTAGGGTGGTTGAGTGACAGGAAACTGTGGACTAGTGAAGCAATGATTTCAGACTGGATGAAAGTACATTGAGATCAATCTGCAATGTTCCCTCTTAGCTACACAGCCTCTCGGAGGTTTCCATATGCCAATGGACGTGACAGTGCGTCGATTTCCAACTCTGGATATCACTGCTCATTATCCTCAGAGGTCTGTGCAGTAGAAAGAAACCTTACTGGAATATAGTTCACCAGGCATCTGCACAAAGACTACTGTTTCTGTTAATATTGTCTAGACTCATGTGTTGGATGTAATTTCAAAATGTGCACATAACACTTAGAGATATGGTGAAGGACAGCGAAAAACTGATAGAGGGAATGGATGGGCACGTGCAGAGACAGTTCAATACAGAGAAGTGATATGTTTTGGTACAAAGCATGAGGGGAAGCAATAGAAAATCAAAGATATTTCTAAAGGGGTCTTTGAACATAGAGGTTATATGTACGTTAATCTTTGAAGGTGTCTGGCAAGGTTGAAAAGTGATTTTTGTTTAAATAGAGTCATAGAGTTGTACAGCACAGAAACTGACCGTTCGGTCCAACTAGTTCATGCTGACCAGATATCCTAAATTAATCTAGTCCCATTTGCCAGCATTTGGCCCATATCCTTATAAACTCTTCCTGTTCATGTACCCATGCAGATGCCTTTTAAATGTTATAATTGTACCAGCCTCCACCACTTCCTCTAGCGGCTCATTCCATACATGCACCACTCTGCATGACAAAGTTGCCCTTGGATCCTGTTTAAATCTTTCTCCTCTCACCTTAAACCTATGCCCTCTGGTTTTAGACTCCCCTGACCCTGAGAAAAAGACCTGGCTGTTCACCCTATCCATTGCCCCTCCATGACCTTATAAACTTCCACAAGGTCACCCTTCAGCCTCCAATGCTCCAGGGAAAATGGCCCCAGCCTATTCAGCCTCTCCCTCTAGCTCAAACTCTCCAACCCTGACAACATCCTTCTAAATCTTTTCGGTGCTCTTTTAATTTTAACAACATCCTTCCTATAGCAAGGTTAGAGGACTCCATTACAAAAAAACAAGTTATGAAGAATCTTCAGGAAGCACAGATTTGGCATCAACTGGACAATTGCCCCCAGTCCTGTTCTCTGCACTTTGAGGAGGATCTGAAAGTTCAAGAGAGGATGAGGATTTAAAAGAATTGGTTCCAGGGAGGTCAGACTTAAAAACATTAGAAATTTAGGAGCAGACCATTCAGCCCTTCAAGCCTGTTCTGCCTTACACTATGATCATGGCTGATCATCCAACTCTGTCCCCTGTTCCTGCTTTCTCCCTATGCCCTTTGGCCCAAGCAAGCATATCTAACATGTTATTGAAAACATTCAATGTTTTGGTTTCAACTGCTTTCTATGGCAGAGAATTCCACAGGCTGACCACTCTCTCTCTCCTTATCTCAGCCCTAAATGGCCTACCTGTATCCTTAGACCATGATCCCTGGTTCTGGACAGCCTGGTCATTGGGATCATCTGTCTTGCACTTACCCTGTCTAGTCCTGTTAGAATTTTATAGTTTCTATGAGAACTTCTCTAATTCTTCTAAGCTCCAATGAATAGTCCTACCCAATCCAGAGTCTTCATATATCAGTCCTGCCATCCCAGGAGTTAGTCTAATAAACCTTCAATGCACTCTGTCCGTAGCTAGTTTATCCTCCCTCAAATAAGGAGACAAAAAAAATCACAAACAATATTCCAGCTGTGGCCTTACAAAGGATGTATAGAATTGCATCAAGAAAATGATCCTCTCACCATGAAGACCAATATACCATTTGCCTCCATCACTGCGTGTTCCACATGTATGCTTACCTTCAGTGACTGGTGTTTGAGGAAACTTTTTGGTCTTGGTGCACCTCCCCTTTTCCTAATTTGTCACCCTTTAGGTAAGCTGCCTTCTTGTTTTTGCTACCAAAGCTTTTGCAGCCTTGTGTTTATTCTCATTTAAACTTTGTTCGTGGATTCGCCCAGTCTCTCAACTTGGTCAAATCACAGTGGAGCATCTCTGCATTCTTAAGTTCACTCTCCCACTGAACTTTGTGTGGTCTGCAAGCTTGGAGATCTTATATTTAGTTCCCTCATCTGAATCATTTCAGTGGGATGGATTGACGGGAGAAGTTGGGATTGTTCCTTTTGCAGAGAAGGTTTAAAGGAGCTGTGATAAAGCTTCAGGAATCTACGCACAGGAGCTGTTCCCACAGTGGAAGGTTTGAGAACCAGAGATGGGCTTTTTGTCATTAATTGTAAAATGGCAAACAGGTAGATAACTGGTGGGGGTGAGTAGAATCTACGCAGTGAATGAGAGCATTCAGTTTTGGCTTTCAAAAGAAAATTGGATAAACACCTGAAGAAAAAGTCACTTGCAGGGCTGTGTGGAAATCATGGAGGATTGAATCTAGCTATGTTATTGTTGTGAAGAAACTGCACAGGCAAAACAGACTGGTTATAGCACAGAATATCGTTCAGTCTGTGGTGACTCCATTCCCTGAGCCAAGTTGACTGCTACAGAAAGATGAATTTGCACTTCTTTTAACAAAAGAGAAATTGCTGAAGATATAACAGGAATCGTACCATAAAGGTTCTTAAATGTCTAGGAATAAAACTGGAAATGTGACTTTTTTCTTCGCTGTCCAGAGACACACTCTAATTCTGCAAATAGTCCATTCGTCCATCTTTTGTTTTTTGGACAGAAGAAGAGTAGTATGGGGTACAAAGAAATGAGGCTGGAGAAGTAGTAATGGGGTACAAAGAAATGGCAGAGGAACTGAATAAGTACTTTGCATGTCTTCATGGTGGAAGACATCTGCATAGCAGAACTTCGAGAGTCAGGGGCAAAGGTGCGTGCAATGTTCATCAAGAAGAATGTGTTGGGGAAGCTCAAAGGTCTGAAGGTGGTAAGTCACCTGGACCAGATGGACTATACCCCAAAGCTCTGAAGGAAGTAGCTGAGAAGATTGGAGAGGCATTGGTGGTGCTCTTTCAGGAATTATGAGTTAACAAGGGTTCCGGAGGATTGGAAAATGGTTAATGTAACACCCCTGTTTAAGAAGGGAGGAAGGCTGAACATTTTTTTATATATTCATTTTTTTGTGGGCTGTGGATGTTGCCAGCTGGCCAGCATTTATTGCCCATCCCTAGTTGCCCTTGAAGTTGGTGGTTAGCTACCAGTTATAGGCCAGTTAGCTTGACCTCCCAGTCATTGGTAAGATTTTAGAGTCCTCAATTAATTATGAAATTGCAGTGTACTTGAAAGTGCACGGTAAAAGTGGGTTGAGTCAGCACAGGTTCGTTAAGGGGAAGTCATGCATGACAAGTCTCGGAATTCTTTGAAGGGGTAACGAGCAAGTTAGAGAAAGGAGAGCTGGTGGACGTGATCTACTTGGTTTTCCAGAAGGCCTCTGACAAGGTGCTGCACAGGAGGCTGCTAAATAAGCCCATGGTTTTCGAGCCACGGTACTGGCATGGATAGAGGATTGGCTGACTGGCAGAAGGCAGAGTGGGAATAAAGGGGTCTTCTTCAGAATGGCAGCCGGTGACAAGTGGAGTTCCACAGGGGTCAGTGTTGGGACCGCAACTATTCATGTTATTCATTCATGATCTGGATGAAGGAACTGAGGGCATTGTTGGTAAGTTTGCGGATGACAAAGGTAGATGGAGTGACAGGTAGTGTTAAAGAAACAAGGATGCTGCAGAAGAACTTGGATTAGGAGAGTGAGCAAAGAAGTGGCAGGTGAAATACAGTGTGGGAAAGTGTGAAGTCATGCACATTGGTAAGAAGAGGTGTAGACTATTTTCTAAATGGAGAAAGGTTTTGGAAATTTGAAGCACAAATGAGCTTGAGAGAGTCCTAGTTCAGGATTCTCTAGAAGTTAATAGAAGGTTCTCAAGATTAGGAAGGCAAATGTAACATAAGCATTCATTTTGAGAGGGCAAGAATACAAGAGCAGGGATGTACTTCTGAGGCTGTATAAGGCTCTATTCAGACCGTGTTTTTAATATTGTGAGCATTTTTGAGCCCTGTATCGAAGGAAGAATGTGCTGGTCTTGGAAGAGTGAAGGGAAGGTTTATCAGAATAATCCTGGGATTGAAGGGATTGTCATATGAGGAGCTGTTGAGGACTCTGGGTCTGTTCTCCAAGTTTAGAAGGATGAGGGGTATTCTCATTGATACTTACAGAATATCGAGAGACCAGGATAGAATGGTTGTGGAGAGGTTTCCACTGTTTAGGTGAGATTAGGACCTGAGGGCA